CGGCCACCACGCTGCCGGCAGCCGCTGAGGACCCGGAAGTGCGGGGCTGTGTGCTGAGGGGCCCGCCCGGGACACCCCTGTCACATCGCACCGCCAGTGCTGTGGGCTCTGCCCCCGAGCGGGTCCCGGCCCTCTACGTGGACGCCTGGCCCTGGGCTTCCCCGCCGGCCTCCCCTGGGCCCTGCTTCCGCCCTGCACCCCGCGCTCGGCGCCTGTCGCCGGCGCCGCCGCGCTGAGCCTGCTGGGTGCAGCACTGTGGGCTTCGCTGTCGCCTTGGGAGGGGCACCCGGAGGCCCAGCGTTCTCCAGTTCACTTCCGCGTCTGCTGCCAGTTACTCGGCGGGTTACCCCTGGTTACTCGCTGGCACCTGGGCGTCCGTGATGCTCTGTACCAACACAGGTGCCTTCGCTCCAGGGCGTGGTGAAGGGCCCGGCACGGTGCGGTTCCTCGTTGTGTTTGCAGGCTCTTGTGTTGTTCTCCGTCCCGGCTGTCTTGAATCCACATGTCACCACTTCTGGTGGGTTTTTCTCACAGTGCATGAGTGCGCTGGTCCTCGGTTTATGGGCAGGTCAGCGAGGGTGACCTCAGGACGGAGTGGGGCCATTAGGCCTGCCTGGTGGCCAGCAGCTGCCCCCCTGGCAGGGCAGGGTATGGATCAGAGGGCTAGAGTCCAACTTGGCCCTCACGGTCATGGTGAGGGCCAGGTGAGGTTCTGGAACGACCTGAGTGCGGGGTACGGTGCCCAGCTGTCTCTGACCATTTTGTCCCTCCGTGAATGTCAAAGCCCAGCCTCTCCTCCCCTTCCTCCCCTGGCAGGCCCACCCTAACTGCCCTGGCACGGCCTCTTGAGGCTGTCCACTCTGTCTTGGGGGCTGCCCTGCTCTGAGCCTACATAGCTGGCCATCAGTCAGGACCCAGCACACTGACCCTCTAGTCTCTGGCTGCCCAGAATGAGGGGAACCAATGCAGAGTGGCAGCCAGCCTCTGCTGAATTCAGTTTTTCATCCATTGGCCCTTGGTTGGGACGAGAGGCCTCGCCAGCCAGCCCTGGTGTAGAAGTCAGGTGACACACCCCCTGGTGCACAAGTCTGGGGAAGTCAGGTGGCCCTGGTGCACAAGTCTGGTGAGGCTGCTCCCGGTCTGGCTTGGAACACGGAGTGCTTGAGACCTCAGAGCCTGAGCAGCTGGGATAAAAGCTTGGCCAAGGTGCAGTAGCCTGGCCCCAGCCGTCCACCCACCACTCTCCTGGAACCCCGTGCCCCGGCGGGGCTGTGTCTGCCCGCCCCTGTTCCACCACAACTGGTCTGCCCTGTCACCAGCATGTTGACCCGGCATCCTCTTCACTGGTGATCGCTGATTCTTCCAGGCCCCAGGGTTACTCGCCCTGGAGAGATGGGCTGGAGGGGGCAGCCAGGAGCCCTGTGATCCAGCCCCAGACCCTGGAGGAGCGACAGGCTATCAGCTGTCCCTGAGCTGGGTCTCATCAGTGCCCTAGGCCCCATCCATCCACTCATTCGTCAGACCCTGTGGGAAGCATCCGGTACCCCCCTCACCTGGGGCTGTCCCTGTCGAATTCACTGCCTCAGGGACCAAGATAGCTAAGGGGGGCCTGATGGAGGCCGAGAGGAGGTTGAGGGGGGGCCTGACTGAGGCCGAGGGGTCAGCACCGTGCAAGTGGCTCATCAACCTAAGCAGGGCCCTGAAGCTTTCACCAAGATCGTTAAGTACCAGGCTGCTGGGGAGGGGAGGCCAGGGGGACCTGGCGTGAACGCCGGGGCCCCTCTAGTTGTTCAGGGCTCTGGGGTCTAACCACTCCCTCTAAAGAGCCGGGGGAAGAGCCGTGATAGGTCATGTTCTGCTGCCCACCCCCCAGGCTCACTGACTTTCCCACAGGATTGAGGGTCTCCTGCAAGGGTCTCACCTCGTCCTCTCTCCTAGGCCAGGGTGCTGGGTTCCCGGAACTGGCGGGCAGTGCAGGACATGTGCAGGTACCGGCACCACTACCCGGTATGTACCCGGCCCGTGCCCCCCTCCACCTCCCCCTCCACCCCTAGAAGTCCCCCTCATGGTGGCCAGCATAACACCCACTCTGTGAGCTCAGGGCTTTGCCTGTAGATGCACCTGCCTCTCACTGTGGGTTGGTGACGTCATCACATGGGCTGGCCGTGGGGCCTACCTCCACCTGCTGCCTGCTTGCTGCAATCCCCTTGGGGTGGTCATTCCTGTCCTCTAGTTTGCTGTTGAGGATGTCACCCCTGCCTGTGCACCTGCCAGACCTCCTCTGGATCACAGATGAAGGGGCTTCCCAGCGTGTGCCCCCCCCTCCCCCACCACGAGGGTGGCTGCCGATGGCCCCCTGCTGGTGACCAGAGGAGCTGCCGTGCTCCGAGCTTGAGGACAGTTCTCCCTGGGGGGCACGGGGCCAGCTGGCAGGATATCCCAAGAGGTGACCCCTGGGGATGCTTTGACACCCCCGGTGCCCGTCTCCAGTCCCCACCGCCCTGTGTCTTTGGCTCTGCAGGACCTGGTAGAACGAGACAGCAATGGGGACATGCCCAACCTGAGCTTCTACAAAAATGAGATCCGTTTCCTGCCAAATGGTATGTGCCTGATGTGGTGGGGCACCTGGGTTTCTTTGAGGCTACCTGTCCCTCTTCATCTCTGGCCTGGGTCCCCCATGGGGGCCAATGGCTGTCACGAGGCCCCACTGTACTTCCTGCAGGCTACCACCAGGATTCCCGGGCCGCTGGCTAAGTCTCTAGGGTTGGGTCCTGGAAGAGCAGGGCGAAACCTACCTGTTGTCATGGCATCATCCTAACTCACAGCAGTATCACAGCACAGCCGGGCTTCGCCAGCTTTTCAGTGGCTATAATCACCAGGCCTGCCTTCCAAGGCGGCTCTGGGTGGACTCGTTGCCAACTTTTGGGTTCAGAGCCAGTTCTTTAGCTGTTTGCCCTGCCCAGAGATGGAAAGACCAGAGGGTCTCTGTTACAGCCATTCAGCTCTGCCTTGGTAGCAAGAAGGCCGTCACTCCTAAACTGAGGGAGCTGAGAATGGCTTTTACGCTCTGTCCCTCACTGAAGTTCTGTGGTCACGTGGCCATGCTGACTCAGCAATGGTAGAGGCCGCTGCCCACAGAGCCAGCAATCATGGTCTCCTGGCCATCTGGATATGGTGTGTCAGCCCAGCCCTAGGCCAGGTGACACACCAAGTTGGCTAGAGAGTTTGGGGGACAGAGCTGAGGGATGTAGAGGGGCCACTTTGGCCTTGTCCACAAGGACAGGGCTGAGTGGATCCAGTCCCACAGAGGGGGCTCTGGCCCCAGTGTTGCCCTCCGTTCACTAGGAGGGTCTGTGAGCAGGCTGCAGGCCAGGGCCCAAAGTTGGTGGGTTAGAACTGGATGTGAACTGTAATCCTCGGGAGGAGGGAGCCTGGGGTGGTGGTGGGGTCTGCTCTGACCTGTCTCGTGGGTGTCCAGGCTGCTTCATTGAAGAGATTCTTCAGGAGTGGAAAGATGACTACGACCTCCTGGAAGACAACCACTCCTACATCCAGTGGTGAGGGCAGTGCGGGGAGACAGCCCTCCCACGTCCAGTGGTGGAAGGGGTGCGGGGAGACAGCCCTCCCACGTCCAGTGGAGGGAGGGCTGCGGGGGGACAGCCACTCCCACTTCCAGTGGACAGGGGCTGCCAGAGGGAGGGTGGAGTGGCGGGGGCCCTCTGCGCCCTGGGTTGTGCTGCTTCCCAAAGCCCCATCCTCATTATGAGGCACACTGGCCACTCTCTGAAGGCCCTGCAGGGCTGTGCCCCAGTCTGGGGCCTTTGATCCAGCCAGCAGCCCCTGCAGTCGGAAGCCCAAGTAGACTGAGGGGCAGGGAGACCTGCAGACCAGACCTGCTGGATGAGCAGCCCCGGTGTTCTGGAGGCGGCAGTCTGTTTCTGGGGATGTGGGTAGGAGGAGGCAGTGACTGGCTCCAAGTGCCTGTTGGTGACACTAGAACAGCCTCTGGGGTCAACTGTCAGGAAAGCCCACATGACAGGGTGGGGCTGACATTGTTTGAGGAAGACCCCAGACACGCCACACACCTTGGGTTGAGTACAAGACTCAGGGAACAAGACAGGGAGCCCCTCCTGACCTACTTGGGACCGTGGAGAAGAGAGAGTGGAGAATGAAGTCCCCCAGGCCTGCCTGCTCAGAGGGCCACCTTCCTGCCTGGCTGAGCTCTCTCCAGGTCCCCTGTCCCTGCAGGCCCATGCCTCTTCCTGTGGGTTGTTGGTCCCTGCGTAGGCAACCCTCTTCTCCAGGAATAAAGGTGTGAGCCCAGATAGGACGGGGGTCTGCCCCGTCGCCCAGCAGGTGGGTGCCAAGTCGGCCAGCAGAGGACGGCAGGGTTCCAGCAGGGCCGGGCCATCTCTGTCCTGCAGGCTCTTCCCTCTTCGGGAACCAGGAGTGAACTGGCACGCCAAGCCACTCACACTCAGGGAGGTCGAGGTGAGTCCTGGTTCCTGGGTTCCGGCTCACGCTGAGGGCGGTTGCGGGGAGGCTGGGGTTGGCCCGGTGTGTCTGCATGCTCCTCCAGCACACGGGGGCCAGCTGGAATGTGGCAGGAACCCGGACTCCAGTTCACTCTCGGCCACAGTGGTCCTCACCCTGGATCTCCCCGTCGGCTTCTGATTCTGCGCCACTTGGGGCAGAGGCCGGGGTGGGGCCTAGTTTGAGCTCAAGTCAGGGCAGAGTGTAGGAGCTGCCTCCTGAGGGACAGAAGGGTGGGAGCTGCGCTGCACCTCGCCGGTTTACCTGACGAGAAGGTGGGCCAGGGGCTCTGCTCTGTGGCAAGGCCTCGGGCAGCCCTGAGGGGAGGGGAACTTGTCAGTGTGCCTCCACAGCTGCTCTGCCCTCATCACCTCACCCCAAGAGTCCAGGCCTTGCCCTGCAGGAAGCTGGCTTTCTGGATAGGCTCACGCCCGGACGCTCCTGGGACGAACAGGCCCCTTGAGGCGTCTGAGTGCTCCGTGGGTTTTCCAGGCGTTCAAAAGCTGCCCAGAGGTCATGGAGCGGTTCGTGCAGGCCTACGAGCTCATGCTGGGTTTCTACGGGGTGGAGCTGGAGGACCGGGCCACAGGTGCAGTGCGCCGGGCACACAACTACCACAAATGCTTCCAGAACCTGAACTGGTGAGGCCACCTGCCCAGGCTGGGTTTCTGTTTGGCTTGGCCACAGGCCGGCGTGGGAGAGACCTCCAGTGTGAGACCCTGGCACTTGGACAGGTCACTCAGGTTCCCTGTTACAGGTGGGGGGTGCCACCCTGGGGTGGGGGGATTTCAGGAAACTGCACCTAGTTTCACAGTCAGGGCTTCTCAGGGGCACTGCTGGCCTAGCATTTGCCCGGAAACAAGGAGCACCCCTGCTCCTGTGGCAACCCAGACCCCCTAACAAGAAATTAGCCCCCCTGAGGACCACCAGGCAGAGGGAACAAGGTTGCAGGGACTCTGCCTCCCCTGCAGCCCAGCCCTTGCCCTTCTGGGCCGCCTCTAGCCAGGCTCTCTCCATGGAGCAAGGAAGGTCCACGGATCTCAGGGGCAGCCCCAGAGGCGGCAGACTCCGAAAGACTAGGCAGCAGAATGAACACGCAGGCAGCCCACGGGCCGCCCCTGGGCCTGGGGAGGCGAAGTGGGGTCCGGGTTGCTGCTGGGCCCAAGGCTCTGGAGGTGGAGGTGGGCGGGCAGCCCCCGAGACGCTCCGGCCACGCTGCGGTCCCGCCCCTCCAGGCGCACCCATAACAACCTTCGCATCACGCGCATCCTGAAGTCGCTGGGCGAGCTGGGGCTGGAGCACTACCAGGCCCCGCTGGCGCGCTTCTTCCTGGAGGAGACCCTGGTGCGCCGGCAGCTGCCGGCCGTGCGGCAAAGCGCGCTAGACTACTTCGTGTTCGCCGTGCGCTGCCGCCGCCAGCGCCGCGCCCTGCTGCGCTTCGCCTGGGAGCACTTCCGGCCGCCCGGCAAGTTCGTCTGGGCGCCCCTGCACAAGCTGCGGCGGCTCAGGGCTCGCTCGCCTGCCCGCCTGCCTGGGGAGGACAGCCTCGGGGACCCCTTCGATGAGGCCAGAGCCCGGCGTCGGACCTGCGGGACGGACGAGGGCGAGGGCGAGGGCCCGGACAGTGCACCCCAGGAGGCGGGATCCCCCGAGAGAGACCTGGCAGGTGCAGCCAGCGAGGTGGAGACCTGCGGTGAGTCGGCGCCCACGCCTTCCAGCCCCAAGGAGAGCAAGAAGCGGAAACTGGAGGTGAACCGGCGCGAGCAGGCCTCGGAGGAGCCAGGCCCGCAGAGCGCCCCTGACGTGGAGGAGATCGCGCTGAACCTGGAGGTGTGTGCCCTCAGCCGGGGCGGCCTCGGGGCGGGCGCACGGGACCCAGGCAGCCAGGACCCGGAGGAAACTGAGAGGCCTTGCCCTCAGCCCGCTGGCGCCAAGGTGACCGACGAGGTGAGGAAGCGGCGGAAGGTGGATGAGAACGGAGCTGCCAACAGTGAGGCCCTGGTGCCGGACCCGACCTGGCGCTCCCCCGCGTCTGAGGGACCCGAGACTACAGAGGCTGAGAGCGGGGCTGGTCAGGAAGCAGGACGCCCAGCAGGGGAGGAGCATTGTGCACCCCAGAGCCTCCCAGAGGGCCCCACCCAGGCCATAAGTGGGCCCCCAGTGGCTGAAGGGGTGGGGTGGGGGACAGCTTCAGCCACACCTGCAGAGCCATAGAGGTGGGGTGCAGAATGCACCCCAACCCCCGTGGAGCCAGTTACCCTTATTCAGGGCCCAGCAGCGCTGGTCCCCTGAGTGTCAAAACACCTCCCTCTCGGGCAGGCCAAGGCTGGACTCCAGAATCCTTCCCTGGACCGTTTTCCGCTCTCTGTTCCACATCCTTGGTCTTTGTAAATTGATCCCCAAGGGTCTGGGGGGGCTTGTTTTCCTAGTGTGGAGCCAAGGCCTTTTCTGAATAAACTGCTTTGACTTCAAGTCTTGGGGACATGAATGCATGTCAGCAGTGGGTGGGCCCTGTTTCCTCCAGTGGGTTCAGAGTGGCCTTGCCAGGCTGCGTCATGGTGCTGCCCCCAGCTCAGGACAAACAATCTCTGCACCTCTCCAGCACCCAGGCCTTGAACCCACAGCCTGCCTTCAGTGCCTCCAGGGCCTGGACACTTGGTCTCTTGATTTTTGTCACTAGTTCAAGAGTGAGTTAGGCCATGTGATGGGTGAGGGTGTTGGAGAGGGGATTGGGGGCATGTCGCACCTACATCTGGCTGCTGTGCCTGTCCGCTTGGCGGTGTGGTCCCTCTGCGGCACTGAGCTGTGACCTGGTGTGGCCAACCCGCCCCATCTCCCAACCTCTGGCCTCTAACCTGGGTGTTCCCCTCCCCACACCTCCTGGGCTCCATCCGACTCAGCAGGCCCCTCCCCGAAGGGCTCAGTGGCTCTCAGCCTGGTCACCCCTGGCCAGGGCGCCTCCCTCCCTCACCGTAACAGACCCCAAGTCAGGACCACTCCCTCCCTCACCGAAACAGACCCCAGGCCAGGACGTCTCCCTCCCTCCCTGCCTGTCACAGGAAAACCCTTCCACTCCTGGCTCCCCAGAGGGGCCATGTGCTTGTCTTTGAAGACATGAGGTTTTGAACACAATCCTTTGGATTTGTGAGGAGAACATAATTTGTTCTGGAGCCCTGATGGTGCACCAGTAAAGTGCTCAGCTGCTAACCAAAAGGTCGGTGTTTGGAAATCAGCAGCCATTGCATGGGAGAAATATGCAACAGACTGCTCCTGTAAAGTTTACCACGTTGGAAACTAAGAGGCCCCTGAGATCTGTCCCACTCCTGATAGGATTGGGTCTGTCCCTTCGCACTGCATCCCCCCCCACACACACACACACACACACCCCAGAAGCCCTGGAGCCTGGACTTGGGTTTGACTCAATGTTGGCAAAATGCACAAATAGCAGAAGAGAAACTAGATGAATGGGACCTTCTAAAAATTAAATTTTTATGTGCTTCCAAAGATTTCTCCGAAAGAGTCAAAAGAGAACTTACAAATTGGGAAAAAATATTTGGCAATGATATATCAGACAAGGGGCTTATATCTAGAATTTATAGAAAACTCAATAACAAAAAGTTCGATTAAAAAATGGGCAGAAGATATGAGTAGACACTTCACAAAAGAGGATGTTCAAGCGGCCAACACACACATGAAGAAATGCCCACAATCATTAGCCATTAGAGAGATGCAAATCAAAACAATGAGATACCGTCTGGCCCCAGCACTAGTAGCAAAGTTCAACAAGACAAAATAACAAATGCTGGCGAGGTTGTGGAGAGATTGGGACTCTCATACACTGCTGGTGGGACTGTAAAATGGTACAACCACTGTGGAGAGCTGTATGGCGATTCCTTCAAAAGTTGGAACTAGAAATACCATTTGACCCAGCCATCCCATTACTAGGTATGTATCCTAGAGAAGTGAGAGCCAGGCCAAGAACAGACATATGCTACAGGGGACATCATGCTCTATTGGCATAACATACACAAAACATTGTTCCACCTTCTACGTTGGCAAGTAGCAACTGGGATCTTAAAAGCTTTCAAGCAGCCATCTAGATGCAATGATGGGTCTTTCCTCATCCAGAGCAAAGAAGAATGAAGAAAACCAAAGATTCATGGAAACAATTGGTCCTCGCGACTGGTACACCATGCGATCCTCAGCCTGTATGACTATGAGACCAGAAGAACTAGATGGTACCTGGCTACCACTGTCAAACACTTGTAGGAGATCCTGGATAGAGAGGGAGAACAATGTGGAACAAAACTCAGAATCATTTGGGAAAAATTAGGGGGACAGGTTTGCTGGTCTGATAGAGCCTGGTGGAACCACTGAGACTATGGCCCCTAGCTGCCCTTCAGGTCTGGAATTAAACCCACACCTGTGGCTTCCAGCCAAACAAAAGACAGACATATGAGTTGAACATTTACCTGAGGTAGAGACACTCCTTGGAGAGAACAATCATGGGAGAAAGAAGGGCTGTGTATGCACAGGGAGACAGCTCAGGTGGCAGGAGTGTGTGGAGGGATGGACGCAGGGAAACTGTAACTATCAGGAAGAAGTGGGAAGGGAGCTGTTGCATTGTGGGAAATTGTAGTCAATGCCATGAGACAAAGTGTATGTGAACAGCTGTATGGAAAGTGAACTTCCTCTCTAAATTTTTACCCAAATCACAATTAAAAGAAAAACTGATGGGATTGGGTCTGTCCCTTTACATTGCTCCTCCCTGTCCAACCCCCAGAAGCAAGGGCCCTGGAGGCTAGACTTGGGTTTGACTCAATAGGGTTTTCTGCCATGGGGCGGGACTCAGGTGCTGGGTGGGGGCATCACATGAGTAATGTGGACAGGCTCAGTTCCCACTGAGCCCTGGCGGCCAGGGTTTGAGTTCAGAAGAAGACGCACCAAGCCTGGAGTGGGTCCCATGGAAGCAACCTGTGCCATGGTGGGCAAGCAGAGGTGGGTGGGCCTCAGAGCTCTGGGCAGACGTGCACTTTGCCAGTTCACAGGTGGTGCTGTGAGGCTGGACTCCAGTGGGTGGGTGTGGGTCAGCTCCCCGGTCCAGGCAGAGCCCCTCCACCAGGTGCTCGCCACTCAGAGCCTGGCCCACCTGGCAACTCCCAGGTGGTTGTCTGAGGCAGAGCAGCTCAGAGAAGAGCACCTCTGAGGCAGCTGCCGCCTCATGGGAGACCCTGCACGGAGCTGGGGTAGCTTCACGAGATGGCACAGGGGAAGAGGGGCAGAGGAGCTGGGTCCAGGCACAAGGAGTTTGCCCCGACTGAGGCAAAGGCCACCCGTGCTTCCCTGGGTCTGGCCAATGGGAGCCCTCATTCTGGCCAGTCTTGTGCTGGATGTGGGGAGGCAGAGCTGGGCTTGGAGGTTGGGCCTGGAAGGGTGGGACCAGATGGAGAGACAAGGAGAACTGGCCACACCCAAATCTGCTTGCACTGATGGGGCTAAGGGAGGAACAGTCCCCAGGTTTGGGAGTGGGGTGGGGCAGCTGGAAACCAAAGACTGGCTGAGCTGGCGAGGAAGCTGACCTGCCCCCTCCCCTTCCTGTCATAAGGCCTGTGTCTCTGAAGATATGTCCCAAGAGGCTTCTCAGACCCCCCCCTGGGGGGCAGGACTTTTCTGGCTCCTCTTTTCCCTTTTTGGTGTCATTCACACACACACCCCACCTGAGGGTGTGGTCAGGCCTGAGTAAGCTGCCAACAGTGTTGTTGTTGTTGTTGTTGTGTGCGGTGGAGAGTTGACCGACTCATAGCGACCCCTCCTTGGGTTGCCAAGGCAGTATCACTACGGAAATAGATTGCCCAACCTTCCTTCCGAGGAGTGGCTGGTGGATTTGAACCGCCAGCCTTCTGGTTAGCAGTCAACAGTAGTCCACCCAAATGGAGAAGTGAGGTACCTCTGATTGTGGGAAATAATAATAATAATGATAATTTAAAAACTCACTGCCGTCAAGTGGAATCCAACTCATAGTGACCCGTCCTTGGGTTTCTGAGGCAGTATCTGTACAGAAGTAGGTTGGAGGCCCACCTGGGTTTGAACTGCCAGCCTACTAGTTAGCAGTCAAATGCCTCCAGCATTATGCCATCAGAGCTCCCATTGAGCAACGTATTTTCAACTGAGTCGTTTTGCTTCCATAAATGCTTTTTCATCCACTCCTTCCGTTGATAATTCCCATCATCTCGAGCAGCATGAATTCCCACCTGCAGAAATGAAGCTCACACAGTGTCCTATCAGCATCTTTAAAGATTCAGGGAGTGGGGCTGGGACTCTGCACAGTGGATAAGCCCTACAGATGACTTAGATGTTTGAGACACACCCCACCAGGGTGTTGACTGAGGCCACCTGGCCACCAGTGCTGCCCCTTACTCTGCTGTTCCTCTCCCCTCCCCAGGATTGAGTGGAGGGGAGGGGAGAGGCCTGGTGGCCCCTGAAATGCCCAAGGCTTGTCAGAAATAAGCAGAGCCTGCAGCAGCCTTGGGGCCCTAGGGTCCTGCCAGGGTCACCATTCTGCACTCCCAGAAGGGGCCACCACTTGTCTGCCAGTTTGTTGGACCATGGTGGCTTGTGGTTGTGAGGCTGGAAGCTGGGCCACCAGCCGGGTCCCTGATGGAGGACAGCTTTCAGCAGAGCTTCCAGACTAAGACAGACTTGAAGCACAGGGCCATCCACATCTAGAAGAACTGGCCACTTGAGAACCTAATGACTGGCAGGGAGACATTGTCTGATATATTAGTAGGGGCCAGAGAAAAAGGGGAAGACCCTCAAGGAAATGGACTGACCCGGTGGCTGAGACAATGGACGGAAGCATAGCAAGGACTGTGAGGCTGGCACTGGGCCGGGTAGTGTTTCCTGCGGTTGCACATGGGTCTCTGTGACTCAGAGCCAACTCAGCAGCACCTAACAGCAGGAGAAGGGGGTCCCAGAGAAGTCTGGCCTTTGTCAGTGGTGGCCAACACGGAGACCCCTGTACTCCTTCACTTGGTATGTTGCTGTTCGCTGCCAGTGTTCTGGTTTCCAGTGCCACTCTGACAGGAATATACCACAAATGGGGTGGCCCTAACAAACAGGAGTTTATTCTTACAATCTGGAGGCTTTATGTACAAGTTCAAAGTGCCAGGCTCTAGGGGCTGGGTGAAAGCCCCTCAACCTTGGGGTCCAGCTCTGCCTCCTGCTCACAGCCCACTGGAGCTAGAGGCGTTTCTTCACTCAGACGGCTGCTGGCTGCTGAGGCTGAGAAGCCCCAAGGTTGACAAGGAAAAAGGCACAGTCCCGATGTTACCAAACCACATGGCAAATTTAAGTCCATTGTAAGCCCAAGGTTGGCAAAGCATAGCAGGCTGCTGAGCAATGACACGGCTACATGCAGGGTCCAAGCGTGCCATTGGCTAGAGACCATTCCCAAGGGCTTCTTAGATACAGGAAGCAGACCACAGACCCAAAGGCAGCTACTCAGCCGCTTGTAGATGCCACCATGGAGCTGGCTGCCAGTCTCCTCATGGACATTAACTACCACCAGCTGCCCAGCCACTCAGCCAGGCCCAGCCCAGCTGACACACACACAGAACTAGCACAGCCCTCAGGTCTGTTCTGACTCGGTGACTCTTTGTACAGCAGAAGGAAACGGTTTCGGTTCCCTAGCGCTGCTCTAACAGTAATAGACCACAAACGGGATGGCTCGAACAACAGGAGCCTGTTCTCTTACGATTTTGGAGCCTAGAAGTCCGAGTTCAAAGTGCCAGGCTGTAGAGGCTGGGTGAA